GAAAATGAGGATGAGTTCCTTAACGGAGTATTTACACAGTTTTACCATCTCAAACTTCAGTTCAATTCATTATGTCATTTGAGATTACAGGGACAATCTGATTGACATTTGCCCTTGAAATGTCAGAGCACACAAGGCTATGGGCCAAATGGTGGAAACTGGGACGAGAATAGATGGAGGTTTGGTGACCGGCATGGACACGAATTGTGTTCTTCCACGCTGTAAAAACTAAAAAACGGTGAAACAGATCTACAGTGAAAATGATCACAAATTAAAATGCAAAGACAGTATCATTGAGAAAATACATGAACATGTCTATTGTTTTCCCTGGCAGTCTAGTGGTTAGCATTCAGTGCTCTCACTGTTCATAGCCTATGTTTGATTCCTGGTCAAGGAATAGAAGTTCTACGCTGCTAATTTATTGTGGTGACAGCATTTCTGACTGTTTTTTCAGGAGCTGGAAGGTAATCTATTTTATTGCAAACGCTATTCAGATTAACATAAAACAAAGGACTGTGGAAAACCAATACAAGAACAGGAATAGATTGAGAAACTCAGCTCTGACAACACCGGTGTAGAGAAATAGAGTTAACATTTCTGGTCCAGTGACTGTTCGTAAGTGCAAGGTTTGTTATCAATTTCTATATTACAATGCCAGAGGAAATTATCAGCTCTGTCTGTTGAATCAACATATTTATCAAATTGTGCTCTCTCATTAGCTGACAACTGTCAACTTTACAACCTTAAAGGTATTTCATTGGCTCTAATGCTCCTTCCATTGCCCAGATGTGGTGTGAGGCTGATTAAATGGTTGCCTTTTTCTTTTCCATTGTGTCAGTTTGCAGCCATGTCGAATGAGAATTGGTCCTTTCAGTGTCTACCTCAATATGTATCTTTATTTGTCTCTCTTTGTTTCTGTATATCCATTTCACCCCCTTTCACATATTCCGACTCTCCTTCTGTCAAAATCCCTCATTTCCCATTCTTGCTCTGTGTAAAGTCTGAAATTCGGAGATAATTTAAGAGTGGAGCTGCTGAGAGGCTTTTACCCTGTGGCTGGAGTGTCTAGGACTGGGCTCACATTCCCCGGATAATGTGTCTGTCACTTAGGGCGGAGGTAATAAAATATTTCTTCTCTCAAAAGATTGTGAATCTTTAGAATTCTAAATAGAATTCTCAATCCATCAGAAAAAAATACAATTAAAGGATTGTAGTGATGTCTTTACTGTTTGGTGTAAAATGAATGAATGGTACAGTGGAGAATGAGGGGGATCAGCTCACTCTGACTGTGCCATTACCACAACATTCCCCGCTAAGTCTGCAATTTATCCTGGTCACCTTGTTATTCCAATCAAACTGGGAATGAAGGGATGAGAATAGAAGGAAAGGAGAGCAGAAGTCCTTGCAGAACAGCAGAAAGGAACTTCATGATGAATCCATCAGAAAAAGAGAAGTCACTGATGCAGTCTCCTGAGGACAAATGTGTTTTCTTTGCCAGTAAAATTCACTACTTCACTAAGCAGGGACGATTGAAGTGAAGCAGTGACAGTGATTATCTTTGCTGGTTGTTCACCGTGTGAATGTTACCATTGCTGCTCATGTCCCTGTCAGCACCACAACACTGGCGCATGTAAGCATTGCACATATGTGGGGCCAGTGATGCAATGGATAATGCGCCTGACTACAGATCAGGAGATTGTAGGTTTGACTACCTAGCTCAAGTGTAGTTCACAATTTCTTTACACTTCCAAACTAATCTTCCTCATTGCCCTGAAACCAAGATGAGCTTTGAATTTCTAATCTACAGGAACAAGACTCCTTTCAATGTCTCACATCAGTAAATGTCACCGAGAATGTCAGAGGAGGGGAAGCTGAAATAGTCCCACAAAATTCACATTCAATTTCCCATACCTACTGACCCAGTCACTGGATCTCCCAGGAATGGAAAGAAAACAAAACAAAAAATAAAACCAGTCTCTGCTTTGTGAGTCTTTCGAAATTCTTTGGGAAACAGAATCAGAGGAGAATGAAGGTGAATTTTCCAACTGAGCAGCGGCAGTCGAGGAAGCTTCCCCTTCTTTAAGAGGCTGGGACACTGACTCTGATGCTCTCGGGGACATTAACTGACCTGAGACACTGAAAGGATTCCCATCAGAGACTGCTCTGTGTTTGATTTTGTTGCTGTCAGGAACAATAAATCCTGATTCCCTGACCAGAAATCGAACCTATTATCCCAGTTTCCAACACTCAGCCTGGAGCCTTGTGTGCTCTGACGTTTCAAGCGTTCATCTCAATGATATTTTCCTTGTAATGTTTTAATCTCAAGTGCCACAAAGAATGGGACTGAGATTTGAGATGGTAAAGTTGTGTTCATGCCCCCTCGGGGAACTGAACCTCATTTTCATCCAGAGAAGGAAACACAGAGGCACATTGTCCCAAGAGTAACAAAAACAAAGTTGCTGGAAAAGCTCAGCAGGTCTGGCAGCACCTGTGGAGGAGAAAACAGAGTTAACGTTTTGGGTCCGGTGACCCTTCCTCAGAACCAAGAGTGGCATCAGCTTCAGGAGAGACCAACCCCAGAAAGCAAGTATTTCACCCATCTGCCTTATATCGTCCCATTTCAGACTTCAAAACCAGTGTCTGGTTACAGCAAAGAAAGGAAGCATTCAGTGCGTCCCCTGCCTGTGTTACTCCCCCCATTGTTGCCCCATTACTCTGCAGCTAATCCTGCCTCACCTCATTCTTCCTGCCAAACTGGAACATTGCTCACGCCAACTGCTTTCTGTCCTTCTGAAAGATCTTCCTCAAGTACCTGAAAGGACAAACAGGAATGTGGTATTTCAAACGTATTTCTTGCTGGTTGAGGAAATGTCATGGTGGTATTAACGCTGTTTCATCAGAAATAATTTCAAACGACTTTAAAGAGCTCCTTTGGTTGGTTCCAGCAGGTGGTGAACATTCTCTCAGGCCCCAGAAAGAATCAAACTCAAAACCACTGGGTGAATCACCAAACTACAAAGTCATGCATTACAAACTGCAATGTAATAGATGACTGGATAGCCTCTGCATCATACACCAAGACAATGTAACAGATCCCATACAGAGCTGAGGGAATCATGTGCAGAAGGATGGGGGAATACATTATCAAATCAGACCGTGTCCAGGGTGATATGAACAGAGATCAGCCCTGGTAGTCGAGTGATCAGGATTCAGTGACTTCAATGGTTAACATTTACAGTAATAAATATAAAACACTGACTAATCTTTAGAAGCAGAATTATGTCATGGACCAGTCAGAATCGATTCACTGCATATTACTGTTCCTATATTGCTACATATTAGCAATGTCAGCTGTAATTGCCTGATGTGCAATCGGTTTAAAACAAGAAAAGAGCGAACATCAGGAAAAGTGAAGGGCAATGGTGGTTTGCAAGAGCTGACTGTCGGCCTACTGAAGCCAGGCCCAATGTGGGTTCTGAAGACTGATTTTCACTGTTTACGCCGGTACATAGATCACTCTGAATCAATCACCCACAATGACTCTCCTTTGTGTGGTTGCCCTTTGCACATCTCACCTCGGTTCAATGTCCAGAGGGGATCCACGCATGTTACCTTGGCAAATTTTGCAAAGTCATCTTTCCAGTCTCATATTAAGACCATAAACGTTCGGAGCAGAAAGAGACCATTCAGCCCATCCAGTCTGCTCTGCCATTTAATGAGCTTGTGTCTGATATAATAATCCTGAACTGCACTTTCTTGCCTTTCCTCATAACCCTTGATACCTTTACTGATTAAAAATGTCAATCTCACCACTGAATACACTTAATGACCAAGATCTGACAACCCTCTGCTGTAAGGAATTCCACCGATTCACAACCATCTGAGAGAATAAATGTTTCCTCATCTGTCTTAAATGTGCGACCCCTGTTCTGATATTAGGCACTCTGGTGCAAGACTGCCCAGAAGGAAATTTTTTGTGTCCATATGTTAAATCTTAAAGAAACCTGTATGCTTTAATAAGGAGCAAGTATTTTTGTATTACTGTGTCTGAGTACGTGAAGTCAATGGATTTCAGTGCTTCGTCCTGTTTGGTTTCATCCTTGATGGTAAAACTTCCACTGATTCTGACAGAGATGTCCGCTGTACGTCTTTTAATGTCAGGAATTCATGTTCATTTTAAGAGTTTGGACAGGAACAATAAAGTCCTCATTCCTATTTGGGAATCAAACCGAGAACACACCAGTTGCAATGCTGAATCCCAAAAAGGAAGGTGTACACAATATTTGCAACTTTTCTTCTTGACACTGATTTTGACCTTTTGTTTCACTTGCAAAATGATAGTCAGTGAGATTTTAACACCATGGAGAGAGGCCCTTCAGCCCATTACATCTATGCCAGTCATCAAACATCTCACTTCTCAACCCAGTTTCCAACACTTGGCCCATTGCCTCATTTGCGCTGACGTTTCAAGTGCTCATCTGAATAGTTAGTTTATGTCTTGAGGGCATCAGGAGAACAAAAACACTTCCTTCAACAAACGACAGGAAATATTGTTTGCTGCAACATGAAATCTATGTTTTTCTCTTTGAAGACAGTTATGAAAGCCAAACTCTTTCTCAGAGCCATTTGCCAGTTTTCCTCATGATGCCAACAGTGTAGATTTAAATCCCACACCGCCTGAGGTTACTATCCCCTTTCAACCTCTCTGCTGACATGAGATATGGTGTCCTTCAGGTCAACCCACCACCAGTTTCGTCTCTCCCCTGTGACTGAGAATGTGTATGGCGACTCAATATCAGTACCAGTGTGGCTCAGTGTCAGACTTTGTGATATTATTATCCCTGGGATGCAAAAGGCATTGTATTATTAATTATTAATTGTATTACATATGTCAGTTGCCTTGGAAGAAAGTGTAGAGAAAGATTGCTTTTACACATTACAACAAATAAAATTCAATCTTTACAATGGTGGGCACTTAACGCAGAATTCAGAGCGGTCCACACGGCATTCCTTATCACTGCGCAGGCTCAGTATGTTCCCGCGGGCCCACAGTCTTGAGCATGCGCAGGGAGCGATCCTGGGAAGCAGTCGCTCTTTTCATCGGCTTTAAAAAAGGTAACAATGAGGCAGAATGGAGGAGGCGATAGACCGGGCGGTTAGACGGGGAGGCTTTCTAAACACTTCGTGGATGCGGCAGACCCCGCATAAAGAAGCTATTTGCGCCCGTTTCACAAAACGGGACAAATCGAGGCTCCCTCTCAACGGCAGGCCGCGGGTAACGGCCGCCATCTTTGTAGGAGGCAAAGGGCAGCAGGGCGCATGTGCGGTCATCCTGGGCCAGGAGAAAGAATATTGTGAATGTGTCTGCTGGACTGAAAGGGATGGAGTTTATAAACTGCTTTTGCAGGGAGTGAGGAGGGGAGGATTTACACACAGCGTACTAGAAATAACAGAAATATTTGTCTCTTCTGAAATTCTGTCCTGGACTGACTGAGATGGCTTTTGTAAACTTATTTTACAGCATGTTAGAAGAGGATTTACAGAGTGCAAACTCAAACCGCATAACATACCAAGATCTGAATGTGCCACTCAGCACTGGATATTATTGGCCTTTCAATGTAAGTATTGAGCAAGATAAAAGTTACAAAATTCCTTCCTTATATCTCCCAGTAACTATTGCCTAGTATCTTAAATCTGTGTCTCTCTCAGTTTTACTGTTGGTGAAGAGGAACAGCAGCTCTTTGTCTACCTTATTTAAACCTATTATAAACCTGGACACTTTATCTCAATCTCCTTTGCTCTGTGCAGAACTTCAGTTTCCCCAACCTGACCTTACAACTCATATCCTTCTATTCTTGAGCCATTCTGATTCATCTCCTTTCAAATCTCTCCTCAGACCCTCACATCCTTTGTCAAGATCACCTGTTTGTGCGGACCCAAATGCTCTCTGTTCAAGTCGGTGATGTTATCTCACACGAGCAATTGCCCAGTGACATCACCCTGATTCCCAGCTATTTCCTGAACTGTGGGTTTCCTCTGAGCCCAATGCTTCAGATATCTTTTGAGCTGCAGACTCCAGCATTTGATTTTAAAGTTGAACACAATGAAATTATTTCAATGTTTTTAACTAGTAATCTACACAATTACCTTCTCATGTTCTTCTCAGTTATCTGAATCTGGGACTAATGCAACTCATTTTGTCACCCCCTCGTTATGTGGCTTGTGTCAAGAGCTGCTTTATAACACTTGACATTATTTTGGTCCATCTCTGCTCTCCCTGATCAACTCTATCATTTTAATCTGCTATGTCTCCTATAATGTGTGTAACTGTCTTACGTATTTTATTGTTACTTCCATTGACTCTCTCATGAGGTTTTTACAGCTGAACATTGCCTGACCACTTGCTGCTGGCAATTATCTTCCCTTAATAGGTCCCACAAGACTGTTAGGTAATGAGTTATTCACCAAGTGATGATGAAGGAACTGTGGTATGTCTAAATCAATGGCAATTAATTTATATCAATATTGCACCTTTCACATTGTGGAAACTTCCAATCTGTTCGTTGAGAGTGTTATAATGCAACTTTTATGATGTGAAAATGTAGCAGGAACTGCTGCACCTGCCCCTCGACCTCCCCGCTAAGTTTCATCCAGGGCACCAAACAAACCTTTCACATCAGACGAGGTTCACCTGTTCATCCGTCAATGTGGTCGATTGCATCCGCTGCTTCCGATGTGGCCTCCCCTACATTGTTGAGACCAAACGGAGGCTCGGAGATCGCTTTGTAGAGCACCTACGCTCTTTGCGACGAATGACAACACCTTCTGGTCATGAAGCATTTCAACACCCCCTCCCACTCCCTGGGCAACATGTCCACCCTGGGCCTCCTCCAGTTTCACAATGACATCACCTGGAAACTGTACGAGCAGCACCTCGTATTCTGCCTGAGGAGCCTACAACCCAATGGTCTCAATGTGGACTTTACCAGTTTAAAAATCTCCCCATCCCTGCCTCCTTGACCTGATACAACCTGTCCATCTTCTCTCCCACCTATCTGCTCCTCCCACCTCACTGACCAATCCCCACCACTGCCTACCTGCACTCACCTCTCACCATCCTACCTCCCTTCCCCAGCCCCACCCCTCCTCTCTCTTTCTTTCATAGCTCCCTTTCCCCTCCCCCATTTCTGAAGAAGGGCGCCCACCCAAAATGTCAACATTCTGCTCCTCTGTTGCTGCTCAGCCTGCTGTGTTCCTCCAGCTCCACACTGTGTTATCTCTGACTCCAGCATCAGCAGTTCTTACTATCTGTTGATTTCGATGCCTGGACTCTGATGAAGGCTCCTGACTCGAAATGTCGACTTTCTTGCTCCTCTGATGCTGCCTGACCTGCTGTGTTCCTCCAGCTCTAAACTGTATGGACACTTCTTTGAACCTTGTTTGGTATTTTGTTATTTCTGCCAATTGTGTCAAAATGAGGTTTCTGATCCTACCCATCTCTGGTTACATGCTGCTGATTTCCCAGCTTTATCTTCACATGGTTTGTTTTGCACTGGAGATCGTTTCTGTTTCTGAGCTAATTTTGACAATCAAATACTTGTTACGACGTCAGGATAGCAAAGCAAAACAAATTAGTCTCACTATAACTGGATTCACAACAGTGAAATTTAAAATATTGAAAGACCCTCAAAATTGCCCAAATGCTCCTGACCAGACTTTATGAATGACCGATCTTGGACACCAAATTTCTAGAAAGAAGGAATAACAATAACTTGAGCAAAACAAACCCAATCAACGAGGCAATCTCATCAATATCTGTGATTTAAACACAATCTTCTTCGTTTTAACCTCCACTCTCACCGATTCACAGACACCCATAAGGGATATATTAAACAGAAAATAAAATTAATGTAAATTTTCAGTTCAATTAAACAGTTTCAAACAATTGATATCAAGCCTTTGTGCAATCCATGGATGATGAGTTGTCCACGGACACATGAAACTTGAGCGAATTTCAAAGTCAGCAGTGAATGGAACAGTTTCAGCAAGCTTCCATAAATATTACCTTATTTCCGACGTTGCATTCCTCAGACCATTCAACAATTTGATAACTGGATGGAAATTGAGAGACAGAGCAGCCTGTCCAAAAGCTTTCAAAATCACTGCTCCTCCTTGACCTTTTTGAACTGCTGCAGTCCGTGTGGTGAAGCCCTGCCCAGATTGCTGTTTGGTAAGGAGTTTCAGGATTTTCATTCAGTGGTAATAAGGTAGTGCTGATATCTGTATTAATTACAGTCATTTTGTTTTAATATCCCACCATGAACAGAATAGAAACATGGAAAATAGCAACAGAAGTACGCGATTGTGTCATTTGATCCTGCTCCCCTATTTGGTATGATCATGGCTGATCTTTCAACCAGTAGCCTTTTCCCACTTTAGACCCACATCCTTTGATCGCTTTAGCCCTCAGACCTATAGCTATGTTCCATCCAAAAACATCCAATATTTTCGCTTTAACTGCTTTCTGTGGAAGAACATTCCACAAGCTCACCAGTCTCAGAAAAGAAATTTTCCATCATCTCAATCCTAAGCAGCATACTCTATATTCTTAAACCATGACTCCCTGGTTCTGTACTCCCTCATCAACCTCCTTCCTGTATTTAACTTGTTAGTCCTATTAGAATTTTATTGGTTTCTGTGAGATCTTCCCATGTTCTTCTAAACCCCAGTGAATTTCATCCTATCTGATCTATTCTGTCATAATACGTCGATCCTGCCATCCCAGGAATCAGTCTGGTAAACCTTAATTGGACAGCCTCCATAGCCAGAACATCCTTAGTCACATAAGTATTCCAAAACTGCACACAAGGCTCCAGGTGTGGTCCAACTAAGACCCTGTACAATTTCAGCAAGTCATCCCTGTTTCTGTTCTCAAATCGTCTCGCTATGAAGGCGAACCTAGCATTTGCTGCCTTCACTTCCTTCTTCTACCTGCATGCTTACTTTGAGGGACTTGTGTCCAAGGACAAACAGGTCTCAGTTCTTGTTTCTCATTTCCCTTTTCTAAATCCAAGCTGACTGACTCTGACTTTGTCTAATCCTGTTACTGTTTTCCAGTGTTGGGCTAACCGGTCTATAAGTCCATGTTTTCTCTCTACCTTCTTTTTTACATAGTGGGCTTACATTAGCTCCCCTCCAATCCATGGGAATTGTTCCAGAGTCTATAGCGTTATGAAAGATGACCATTAATTTCCTCAATTTAGATTCAAGCCCCGAGTTTCAGAATGCATCCACTATCTCTCCTGCCACTTTGTTAACTACTCTGGGGCATATATTATGAGGTGCTGGGATTTGTTGGCTTTTAATCCCATCAATTTCCCCAACATTATTTCCCTACTCGTACTGATTTCCTCACTTCCTCCCTGTCATGTGATCCCCAGCATTTTAGTGATATTATTTATGTCATCATTTGTGATGACAGAACCAAAATATGTCGTTAATTGGTCCATCCATCACTTTATTCCACATTATAACTTCCCCTGTTTCTGATCGTAAGGGACTTGTTTTCATTATTTTTTTTTTTCTCTCTTCATATCCCTTCTGGAGCTTTTACAATTAGTTTGTATGTTTCCTACAAGCTTACCCTGTGACTTTATTTTTCCCTTCTTAACCAATCCCTTAGTCCTCTTTTGCTGAAATCTGATCTGCTCCCAGTCTTCAGGTCTGCTGCTCTTCTTAGCCAATTTTTACGCCTCTTCCTTGGATCCGGTACTATCCCTAATATCCCTTGTTAACTATGGCAGGGTCGCCTTTCCCATTTTATTTTGTGCCAGACAGGAATGAACAACAGTTGCAGTTCCTCCAAGTGCTCTCTAAATATTTGTCAACCCCCTTAAAGCTTAAGTTCCTCAAGTTATTGTAGCCTGCATGCACCTCATAACACTGTAATTTCCTCTGTTTAGATTTTGGCCCCTAGTCTCAGAGATGATTCTGGCACTCTCCATCTTCATGAAGAGTTCTATCATGAAGAAGTCTTCACTTTTCCACAGCGAGATTGCCAATTAATCCATTCTCATTACACAATTGAAATTTTGAAATAAAGTTGCTGTGATCCCAGAAGATCGTCGGACTGTTCTGTCTCTTGAGAGAGTGTGTGAGAGAGAGAGAGAGAGAGAGACACGACGAATGGTGCTTTAACCTCAGGGTTACCGTGCCTCAGTCAATGGGCAAGATTAAGATGGTGGGACCTTCATGGTGACCTCAGCTGGTACAGAAAGTGAGCACGTGCTGCTGGTGTCCCTCTGCGTCACAAACCAGCTGTCCAGCCAATTGAACTAACCCACCCCTGCTCATTACACAATACACCATTGAGGATGGTCTGTCCTCTCTTTGGGTACTCAATATGTTGATCTAGAAAACCATCTCGTACACAACCCAGGAATTTCTCCTCTATGATATTGTTGCTGATTCGATTTGTTCAACCTATATGCAGATTGAAGTCACCCGTAATAACCAAAAGAGCACAAGACAGAGGAGCAGAATTAGGCTATTCGGCCCACTAAGACTGCTCCACAATTTGATTGTGACTGATATGTTTCTCACACCCATTCTCCTATCTTCTCCTGTTGATCCCCTTACCAATCAAGAACCTATTTATCCCAGTCACAAGTACACTCAATTACTTGGCCCCCACAACCTTCTACGACACTGAGTTCCACAGAATCACCACCTTCTGGCTGAAGAAATTCTTCTTCTCAGTTCTGAAGGGTCATCCCTTTACTGAGAGCGGTGCCTTCCAGATTCGAGTCTCTCCTGCTAGTTGAAACATCTCCATGTCCATCTATCCAGTCCTCTCAGTATTCTGTTAGTTTCAATCACAGAGCCATAGAGTCTGACAGCATGGAAGCAGACCCATTGGTCCAACCAGTCCATGCTGACCATGTTCCAAAACTAATGTCGTCCCATCTGCCTGCACATTGTCTATATGTCTCTGAACATTTCTTATTTACATATTATCCAAACGTCTTTTAAATGTTGTAAACTGTACCCGTACCCACCACTTCCTCTGGAAGTTCATTCCACGCAAGAACCACACTCTGCAAAAAAAGAATGGTTGCCCCTCATGCCTTTTCTCAATCTTTCACCTGTCACCTTAAAAAATATGCCCCTAGTCTTGAAATCCCCCACCCGAGGGAAAAGACATCTGCTATTCACCTTCTCTATACTCCTCAAGGGCAGGACTTAAACAATTAATGGTAGGGCACTGGGTAGTGTTGTACCACGTACCTTTGTACCTGAGATGGTGCCACAAGTGGCAACTTGTAAACTTTTCACTGTACTCATGTGAGTACATGTGACAATAAATGTTATTCTATTTGATTAAAAATATGCTTCCCGGTCTTGAAATCCCCACACCAGAGAAAGGACACCTGAATTTCACAAACCTCTATAAGGTCAACCTCAACATGCTACATTTCTGTGAAAGGAGTCCCAGCCCCTCCTTACGACTCAATCCCTCCATTCTCAGCAACATCCCGGTAAACCACCTTTGAACTCTCTCCAGCTTAATAATATCATTGCTATAACAGGACAACCAGAATTGGACACAGTCCTGCAGAAGAGGCCTCACCAATGGCCTGTATGATCTCAACATGATGTCCCAACTTCTCTACACAACATTCTGAGCAATGAAGGTAAGCATACTGAGTGCCTTGTCAACCACCCTGTTTGTATGTGATGCAAATTTCAAAGAATTCGGTAACTAAAGCCTCAAGTCTGTATGGTCTACAATACCCAAGGGTGTACTTTTAATTGTATAAGTCCTGCATTCCTTGTTTGTTTTAGTACAGTACAGTACCTCACATTTATTCAAATTAACCTCCATCTGCCACTCCTCAGCCCATAGACCCAATTGATTAAGATCTCTTTGAAATCTTAGATAACCTTCTTCACTGTCCACTATGCCACCAATTTTGGTGTCATCCGCAAAGTTATGAACCATGCCTTCTATATTCTCATCAAAATCATTTATATAAATGTCAAACAAAAGTAGACCCAATACCAATCCCTGCAGAATGCCACTGGTCATTGCTGAACACTAGGCCTCCAGTCCAAAAAACAACCCTCCACTGCCATAGCCTGTCTTGTGACATTAAGCAAATTTTTTATCCAACTGGCAAGTTCACCCTAGATCCCATGTAAGCTAACTTTACTAATTAGTCTACCTTGTGGAACCTTGTCAAGAGCTTTACTAAAGTCCAAGTGAACAATATTTACTGCTCTGCCCTCGTCGATCATCTTGGTTACTTCATCAAAATGTCAGTCAAATGTGTGAGACACTATTTCACTTGCATAAAACCATGCTGAAAATCCATAATCATTCCTTGCCTCTCCAAATGCTATCTTCCAGAATCACCTCCAACAACACATCCACCACCAAAGTCAGACTCACATGCCTATAGTTCACAGGCTTCTCCTTACGTCCCTTAAATGAAGGCACAACATTAGCCACTCTTCAGTCATCTGGCACCTCATCCGTAGGTATAGATGATACAATATTTGTGCAAGCATCCCCACATTTTCTCTTTAACTTTCCACAACACGATGGGATGCACCAGACAGGTTGTAAGATTTAGATTCATAGAGTAATACAGCATGCAAAAAGGCCTTTTTCCCAAACTGGTCCATGGTGTCCATTAAGCTAGTTCCAACTGCTGGATTTGGTCCACTTCCCTCTCAACCCTTCCCATCCATGCACCTGTCCAAATGTATTTTAAATGCTGCTATTGTACCAGCCTCAACCACTTTCTCTCGCAACCCATTCCATACATGCACCACTCTGTGCATGAAGAAGTTACCCCTCAGGTCCTTCTTAAATCTTTCCCCTTTCACCTTAAACCTATGACCTTGCGTTTTCAATTCCCCATCCCTGGGATAAAGCCGATATGCATTCATCCTATCTTTGCCCCTCGTGATTTTAGACACCTCAATAAAGTCACTCCCTCATTCTCCTACGTTCCAAGGAATAAAGTCCTACCCTGACCAACAATTTGGGCCTACTAGTCCTGGTAACATCCTAGTAAATCTTCTTTGCACACTTGCCAGTTTAACTATGTCTTTCCTGTGACAGCGTGACCAAAACCGTACACAGTATTCCAGTGCAGCCTCACCAATGACTTATACATCTGTAACATAATGTCCCAACACCTATACTCAATGCCTCAACCGATGAAGGCCAGCATGCTAAATGCCTTCTCCTCCACCCTTGTTACCTGTGACACCACTTTCAATGAACTATGTACCTGTTCTCCTCGTCCCTCTGTTCCACAACAATCCTCAGGACCTTACCATTTACTGTATAAGTCCTACATTGGTTTGACTTTCCAAAGTGCAACACCTCACACTTATCTGTATTGAATTGCATTTGCCAACCCTCAGCCTACTTCCCCAACTGATTGAGATCCCTTTGTAATTTCTGATAATCTTCCCCTCTCAACACCTACTAATTTTGTATCATCCACAAACTTATTAATCATCCCTGTATATTCACATCCAGATGATTTATGTAAATAACAAATAACAAAGGTCCCAGCACTGACCCCTGTGGCACACCACACCTTCAACCATCACCCTCTGCTTCCAACCATTGAGCCAGTTTCGAATCAATTCACTAGCTCTCCCTGGATTCCATGCGACCTAAACTGCATGACTAGACTGCGTGCAGGACCTTGTTAAAAGCCTTATTAAAGTCCACATAGATGAGATCACTGCCGTACCCTCACCTATGCTCTTGGTTTCCTCTCAGAAAAAGTCTGAAAGATTTGTCAGACGTGACTTCCCGCGCACAAACCCACCCTGACAATCCCTAATCGGACCTTGACTGTCCAAATGTTGGTTGATCCCGTCCCTCAGTATCCTCTCCGATAACTTGCCTTCCACT